ATAAATAGACAAACGTGATTACTCCTAGTCAAAGGCTTTAAAAAAATTTTAATTCGTTGTCATTTATTAAAAGCTATTGCTTAAGTTTGTTTTTAAAATGTTTAATAGAAGAAATAGTTTTTAACTCATTATTAAATAGCGTGTTCCATAGTTTAGGACCTCTGTTTGTAATTAAAAACTTAGTAGCAGAGTAATAGGGTTTAGGTTGAATTTAATTGTTTTCTGAAAATCGTGTTGGGTATAGATGGTTTATTTTTTCCAAAAATGAGTCAAATGGAATAGGTGCTATTTTTTTATTAACTTTGAACATAAAAATATTTTATATGATAAAAAAATCTTACTTATATGTTCTAGTATAATAGATACCCAGCAAACATTTGGTCTAAAATAGACGTCTTTAATACATATTAAAAACGTGTAATACGTTTTAAAGACACATTGAAAACGTCTTTTTTAGACCAAATGTTTGCTGGGTAGCCATTCCCAACAGTTTGAGTTAAAAAAAAACAGCTCTACTCTTCACGCAGAGATTCTAATAACTATACAGCACTATAAAAAATATCACACGCCTCTATATACACTACCGCCCATAATTATTCGAATGGTGGAACTTTTCGAAATAAGATATCATAGTTTCACTTACTATTGGGAGAGAAACTGTAAGCTAAGTTGACCTGAATTCAATGTTATCTTCCATTTTATTAGGTTTACAAAAACATTAATATAAGTCCAATTAGATTAATTTATAATTTACTTGCCTTTTAATGCCCTTGGCAACAATAACCGCCATACATATTTTTGGCATTCTACTATTCTAATTCTAGTTTTTGACATTACTTTTAATTCCTCCCATTAAAATCCAATATTAGAGAGATCTTGCGATTGGGGAGGTTAAATCATTTTATTTAATATTTGATCGTTTTTGAACTCAGTCAAATAACTTAAACAAATTTTTGAAAAATATTTTTTAGATTTAAGTTTCAAGTCATTTTCTTTTAAAAAAATGAATTGCTTCTCATTAACCTACTTTTCCGAAGGTCTAGTATAATTTTTTAAGTGTACAAGTAAACTACTTTTGTAATTACTCTCTCTATTTTCACAAAGTCACCGGTGGCATAACCAAAACAGCCTCACACCTTAACACTACATCCACTATGTTTTACAGTCAATAATATACACTATTTTATCATAAGTTTAACGATTTTTCTTCCAGACAATCAATATTATCTTGAAACCAAAGATTTAAAACTTTGACGCGTCGGTCCGTGTTTACAGTAATTGATGGTCTATGTATTTTTATATGTAGTTTCGCCCACTTCAGCATTTTTATTATTCTTATGATTTTTATCAAAGCAATTTAACCAAAATACTTTTAAATTATCTAATAGTGCAAAAAAAAGAATTTAAAAAAGTTAAATAAAAAATAGCATTTTTAAAAAAAGTTAATGCCATTCGAATAATTAGAACGGTAGTGTATGTGCAGTTTAGATGTCAATAAAGTTTTGGATACGTACAACTGGAGTTAATTTTATCGCTTTATCTTTCCGGTACTGCAAATGTATCTTATCAAAGACTTGATTTAAATCAATTTAGTCTTTTACAAGGAGTGCGGAAAAAATTTTATTCTATCGTCTCATTTATACTGAAAACAGAGTTTCTAATTTCTGGAACAAGTCCTATTTCAAACAACTTGTTCAAATTAACAGAACTTCAATATATCTTCAAAATAAATTAAAGCATCTAGGTTTCCAATAAGATGATACTAATAAGAACAAGATTGCAACACTTCAAAAAACAATTTTAAATAAGTGTTTAACTTAGTTTCCATTCGTTGCAATAGTTCTAATCGATAGTGGAATTCATTTTTGCCAGACGTCAGAAATTATTTATTTATAATTAATAACAGTTCCTAAGCTTACATATGGACTCAAGCTATGCAAGTTTAGTACCAGTTCTGTTAGCAAAATAGATGCTTTTGGAAGAGCTGTTTTAATATTTTTTTTTTAATCTCAAAATATAGTAAAAACTACCTGAATTTATTTTTTAAAGTAGAGAATATTTCAATTATTCTCCTTTGTAGCAAAGTAAATTTATTTAACAGGCTGTTAAAAATCAAACTTGCATTTCACTGATATTGAAGCAGCTTTTTTTTTTAATTTGTGATTTGCGTCAATTTTAAAGACTTTGTCACAGGGTTGCTTGTTAAATACATTTTGGAAAAAAAACGTTCTTTGTCACAGAACGTTTTAAAACTCTATTAAAACGTATTTTTACGTTTTTAAAACACAATGATATAGGGGAAAGGCGCCTATAATGGCATACTTAAGTTTGAAGCTTCATTATTCAGTATCCTGAAGACTGAGAGCAAAAGTTTTGATATGAATACATTCTTTGTTACATGTAGAACAATAATAACTCTAGAAGTTTTCATCAGTTTTAACTTTGTAGTTAGTTTTTTTTTAAAAAAAAAAAAAAAAAAAGCAACTACTGCTCCTATGATGCAACTACTGCTCCTATGATGGCTTAGGGGAGGATGGGGCTGGTGAGCATCAATAGTAACTTGACAATTTCATTTGACCTTAGAGTCTTCCCTCAGAAATTCCAGAAATTACGCGTAATCATCCTTATTAACTCGTGTTACACAACAGATGTAAAGAAATTCACGGATGCGCATAGAGGTATTGCGTTTTATGTGTTTTTTGAACCAAAAATTTTTTAGTGAAGTAAAAAGGAATTTTTACTTCACTAACAAATATGTTGTTTTTAAGAAAAAAAAGGTTTTCTCAACTCATCACCATTAACTTGTCAGTACTCTCGAGTTCCTAATAAACGTCCCCCCCCCTCTTTATTTAATTTTTACTTGTTATCAACAAAAAAATTATATCTCAAAAGTAAAAAAAAAATTCAGGGAAAATCGGGCTTAATAACTTTCAGTCACCGATAAAACAAAACTTGCAGCGTAAACAGATTTTACAAATTGTCGACCTATAAAATCATGATTTGCTAAAAATGAATTTTTAGTTTATTTCTCAACAAAACTTTGGTTTTAATTATAGGGTTTAATATGCTGAATATAAGTTTTATACTTTGCAAAGTATAAAACTTATATCAGCATACTAAATCCTATTGAAATTATGATAAAACAGCCTAACTCTACCCTAACAGCTGTTAGAAAATGCGCTTTTGACGCAAGTCAAATGCGCATTTGACTTGAACAGTCGAATGCGCATTTGACTTGAACAGTCGAATGCGCATTTGACTTGATCAGTCGAATGCGCATTTGACTTGAACAGTCGAATGCGCATTTGACTTGAACAGTCGAATGCGCATTTGACTTGAACAGTCGAATGCGCATTTGACTTGAACAGTCGAATGCGCATTTGACTTGAACAGTCGAATGCGCATTTGACTTGAACAGTCGAATGCGCATTTGACTTGAACAGTCGAATGCGCATTTGACTTGAACAGTCGAATGCGCATTTGACTTGAACAGTCGAATGCGCATTTGACTTGAACAGTCGAATGCGCATTTGACTTGAACAGTCGAATGCGCATTTGACTTGAACAGTCGAATGCGCATTTGACTTGAACAGTCGAATGCGCATTTGACTTGAACAGTCGAATGCGCATTTGACTTGAACAGTCGAATGCGCATTTGACTTGAACAGTCGAATGCGCATTTGACTTGAACAGTCGAATGCGCATTTGACTTGAACAGTCGAATGCGCATTTGACTTGAACAGTCGAAACATAGGAAGAAATTTTCATTCAAACAAACTGACTGCCATGTTCAAAAGATAAAATTAAAATAAGTATTCCATTAAATGCGCAAAAATTGGAAATTAAATGCATGAAAATTTCCTTTCTGCACAGTTAATAATAAAATCACAATCTTAAATATTTAAAGAGATTAAAAATACAACAGCACATCCAAAAATCGATTTTTGTTGATTATAAAAGCAGTATTTGTACATAAGGGACGTATTTTTGCTAAAACTAATGTAAAGTCAGTACAGACATGTTGATCAAATAACTTTTTTGCCATAACCAATATTTATCAAAATATGACCGGTATGCTATCATAGGCGTCTTTCCCCTATTTTGTAAACTAGAGGTTCAACTTCGATCCGAAAAGTAAAGCCGCTTTTTGCCCTTTTTACAAATGGCGGATTAAATTTGTACACAAGTATTTTTAACTCTTTTTTTCTTAAATGAAGTAAATATATTTTAAATTTAAATACTATTTATGTAAAAAAATTAAACGGAGATTAGAATACTTGTAAAATAATAATTTATGATTTCTTAATTTATTTTCGATTAAAAGGGATTTAAGTTTTGAATAGAAAAGTAAAACGTTTTTATGAATTAAAATACTTCTTAATAACAGAGGCTCATAAAAAAACTTTTATAAGTAATTAATAACTATCAAAACTTGTTTTTGAATTATCTTTAATATATATATATATATATATATATATATATATATATATATATATATATATATATATATATATATATATATATATATACACATATTGTTTCCAATTATTCTTTAATTTTTATATTTTAGCTTTTGAATTTATTTAAAAATATTTTATAAATTCATCTTTTTAGCTAAAGCTTTTGGTACCACATTAAAAATGGCTTCATCCAACTTTGTTGGGAGTAAATTTAGTGAGTAAAAATAAAAAAATAATTCAATTAATCCTACAACCCACTTTCAAAAGAGAAACATTGCATGGGGCCAAAACAATTCTAAAGGTATCATTAAAATCGCTGAATTCCAACACTAAAAATTATGCGACTCGTAAAAGAAATATATTTTATAAATTTATATATAGATGACGCCATGGATAATAATATTGCCAAAAAGTATACAGTTTTTATTTGACGCTTTTAAAATATATATTTTTAGATTCATTCTTAGTATAATAGATTCTTGTTGCTACTGATATTAATTTTTGAAATTAAAGGCTAATCACGTCAAGCAAAAATCAATATAAAAGGTCAAAAGTATAATGAAAAAATAAACTATAGCTTTTTATGCTTTTTTTCCAGTCATAATTTTCTTGCATGGAAACTCACGAGTTAGCTAATACGTGAACGGCACATTGTATTTCAAAATTCATTTGGCCAATAGGAACTTTTCACCCTCTTACGTTTCTTTATATTAATCCTTTATCAATTTTCGTTCTCCCGATATATGAGCTGCAGAAACGTGAATGTTACACAAGCAGAACCGCATTGATGCAACCATCATTTTCAGGGTTATTGGTAACCTGCGCATATTTGCCTACACAATAGACAAATATATTCAATATTTTTTCAAAAGTAATTTTTAACAAATTTATATCATAAATTTAACAAGTAAATTTTAATTAAGCTATATTTTAAAAAATAAGAGCATCCTCAACTAAACTGTCTTAGAACTTTTAATTTATATAAAAAAAAAACAATATGCACAATATTATCATAAAAATATAATTATAATAAAACTAATAAAATAATGCTTGTAAAATGTTTAGAATTTCATTTTTTTAAATAAGTCTTAAATTTATACCATATTAAATTTTGTAAATATTTTTCTTTCACAAAGTTTGCTGCTTTATACTTGTGTGTTTAATTCTAGTGTTCTATGCTAATACTAATGCTTTACACTAGTGATACTAGTGTTTTATACTAGTCTGCTTAATACTAGTGTGCATTGAATTTTTTATAGAATTATTTTAGCCTAGGTGTGCTTAAGTCCATTTATATCAGAAATACACTGAAAAAATTTCAACGATCCTAGAAAATTATCTTGAGGTGCCTCAAGACTTTTAAAAATTTAACAGGTCCCTAATATTATAACAAAATTTTTTTTCGAAAGTATGTCGTGTTGGGTCTCAAATGAAGCGAATTTTTACTCAAGTATTTAAAATGAATAATCGTTTAAATATATATATATATATATATATATATATATATATATATATATATATATATATATATATATATATATATATATATATATATATATATATATATATATATATATATATATATATATATATATATATATATATATAACTTTTGATTTTACTACATAAAAAAAAAAGATCTTTTAACTAAAAATAAAAATGTTTTTTTTTTCTTATAATTTTTTCTTTTATAAAATGATTATTAATTTTGAAATTTTAAAAATAATTTTGCTTCATTTGACCAAACATGAGATTTGAGACCCAACAACGTTTTTTTTTTAATAATATTATCCTTTAAATTTTCAAAGGTCTTGGGGCACCTCAAGAAATTTCCAAAAGATTTGATATTTTTCTAGAGTATTTCAAATATTAACAACTTTTGCACACCAAAGCTAAATGAATTACTAAAAAAAAAAAAATTTAATTCACTGCACCTTATTCAATACTTAATTTACTAATGAAAAAAAGCCATTGATCTTTTGCAACAGAGATATTAAGTAAGAAATAACTCGAAGAAAATCCTGTTTTTTTTAATAGACTTAAGATCATAATGCCTAGTGAATAAAAAAAAGCAATAGCTTTTACTCAGTAATTAGTCAGCTTTACGTGAATAAAAATTTCAGCAATTTTACTTAAATTTTTATTCACGTAAAGTTGAGCAATTACTGAGTATAAGTAATTGCTTTTTTTTATTCACCCGGCCAATTATATTCTCAAAACAATGCTTATTCCAACAATTTAAAACATTTGCTTATTTTTTATTACTCACTTCTTTGGATTACTTAATAAAATTTTGTGCAAATATAATTTTTTTATTTAAATTTATTTTTAATTATTACTATACAAGTTTGACTTGCAAGAGAGATCAAAACAAGCTATTATTGCAAGAGTTGATAGTTCTCCCTAATACTATATGACACACCTTTTATTTTATTCCTTTGAGTTAAAATTTGAAATACAGTCAAGTTGTTGATATGGAAACACTTAAAAAATTTCTTTTTTAATCATTATAGTATATTAAATCTGATTTTAATGTAACAGATTCACTTACCCCAGACAACTTTGCCACCTTGTGTTACCAACCCCAACTCACTAACATTAACCTAAACGATAAAAAAATTTTTAAAGCTACAAAATAATGATAAAATTTAACAGAAATAAATTAACATTATAAAAAATTGTGATTAAAACAAGAGAGCAAAAATGTTAACCTCAATAACTGTTCCTTTTGTTATTACACCAAGTGATGTGTACATTGGGGATTGGGGATTTTTTTTAACACCAATAATAGGCAAACAAAACGTTGCTTTTAACTAATAAAAAATATTGAACAAAGCAACCATTTTAGTAATTTGTTTTATTACTGCAAACCAAACAAAAAATACAAGCTATATATGAAATATAAAAATAAAATAAAATTATCACCTCAGGATGTGTCACATGGGCTTTCTTAAATCGTAAACCCTAATAGTTAAGCATTTTTTATTAACTACACTTATAACAAGTTCTTATATGGTAACAGTACTTAACTGCAAATAAAAAAAGCTTCAGGAACTTAACACTGCCATAGGAAACAAAAACAGAAATTATTTATAACTAACCATAGGTCTAATGAACCTTTCAAACTTTGGAGGCTTTCTTGTAAACTCATCACCAACATAAGTAACTTTAGTAACCATTCTCTTCCAGCATTTACCTTGAAGAGAAAGAAAACTTATTACCATATTTAGTGTAGAAATATTAACAGATAAACCCAGAATCGTCGCCTCTACACAAAATAAAAAATTTGGTCAAACTTTAAATGAATTTTTTGTCTAGCAGAAAACAGTGGTTACCCCTATGGGCAGGAATAAGTAGAAGCAAGTGTACAAGCAGGTACAAAAAAGTTAAGGCATGGGCAAGCAGTTTTAAATTTAAAAAACAATCATTTTTTCATTCTTTTTGTTGTATAAAATACTGATTCTTGAATCTAATTATGATGTAGTATGTCTATTAATTATTCATTATTCGAAACTTTTAATCTTTATTTAAAAAGTATGACTACTGTGTTAGTCATCTTTTATTTTTAAGACTACAACTGCTGCATATGCTAAAAGTCATTATTAAAAGCAATGTGGTTGTAGAGTTAAACTTCTACGATTGCAGATATAGGTGAGCACTTAAATGTCTGAAGTAAAAAAATTTATAATGAAAAAAAGCAAAACTTTACTTGTTATAATAAATGTTCTTTATACTTGTATGTACTGAAGTTCCAGCAGATTCTGTTTTAGTATGAATTTATCAGTATATATGTTTTCTTAGCAAAATAACAGTTCCTAAACCCACTTTAATCTACAAAGATTCTTTAGAAATTCTGAATTTAGAACAAATATAATCCTAATATAATCTGAATGTCTGAAACTTGAATGTGACCTAGGTGTCCATACATCAAATGACCTAAAGGTTAAGCATCAAGTAGAAGCTGCAGCTGCTAGATCAAACCAAGTAGTGAGCTGCTAGCAAAAAATTCATTTTGCACTAGAGAGGTAATGTTATGGAGGGTACTCAACACAACATACATTAAACCTCATCTTGAGTATGCCATCCAAGCCTGGTCTCTTCACATAAAAAATAACATAAAAACACTTGAGCAAAAAATACTTTGCTTTAACAATTTGACCATGGCGCTTGACATGTTTTTAAAATTAAAAAATATGCTAAAAAAACTTTAACTTATCTAAAAAAAAATTAAAAAAGAAAAAAAATTTTAAACGAAAGAGAGAGAAAAAAAAAATTTAACTAAAGCAAAAACACAATATATATATATATATATATATATATATATATATATATATATATATATATATATATATATATATATATATATATATATTATATATATATATATATATATATATATATATATATATATATATATATATATATATATATATATATATATATATATATATTGTGTTTTTGCTTTAGTTAAGTTTTTTTTTTTCTCTATATATTTCTCTTTTTTTTTTCTATATATATATATATATATATATATATATATATATATATATATATATATATATATATATATATATATATATATATATATATATATATATATATATATATATATATATATATATATATATATATAACCCAACTAAAACAAAACTTAACAAACTAAATTGCTTAGTTTAATTAAATCATGCTTTTAATTATATTCGGAATATTTTTGTTATCATTTTTTATGTAAATGTAAACAAGTAAAATAATGCAGTAAAATAATGCATTAAAAAACTATTACATCCTTTGTTTTATCATTTGTACTTTTTTGTTTTTGTTTTTTTAATTTGTTCTAAAAGATTAACATTTATCATAAAAAATACATAATTATGTAAATGAAAAAAACAACAGTATATTAATACTTTTTATAACAATTCATTAGAAGTGTTTTGTTACTTCATTAAAATTGTTTCGATAATATAAAAGTATTAAAGATCAAACTTATTTTATTGAAACGGCTTTCTAAAACATTTGTCTTTTTTTTCAATGAGATTTTGCCTATCTTTTTAAATGTATTAACTTTAATTATTCTTAAATTAAAATTCCTTAAAGAGACTTTCGATGTCGTAGAAAGTCGTTTATTAAAACAAAATAATTCTTTATTTTTTCATAACGTTTTTTATAAAAAATGCATAGTTAAACAATTTATATAATATAAATTAAAAAAATTATATACAACTGCCAATTATACTTAAAATAAAAAATCATTATCAGTAAATTGTTACTTTAATATAAAAATATAAAATAATTTGTTAAGAAGTTTTGTTGTAATTTATTTCACCTATGGTATAATTGAGAATATTTTTCATTTAGCACATTTTTAAAATGTTTTTTGAAATATCCGCAGTCAAATCCTCAAAGCAAAATGTAATTTGCCTGGTCATATAATGATGTGCAATCGCACATCTTCCTGTAAATAATTGTATCAGAATGTGTGTGGACATAATCAACGACTAGCACAGAAAATAGTGAAAACCTGCCAAGAATGGGACAATATTTTTACTAATCGAGTTAATAACAACTGAAATGGGTTACCAGCATAGTCAATCCAACAGTAGTCATACCAACATTGTACATAAAATAATATTGTATGTACTATGTATCAGGGACGCAAAGTCCCAAAAAGGACTCTGGATTTGAAAGTCAAAAAAAGATTACTTCTTCTTAGTTTTTGGTATCTAGGAGCTTTAAAAAAATAAAAAAGCTTATGGGCTACTAATGGAGAAAAAATGAAAACTTATAGGTCAGAAGAACAATTTTTGAACCCGGAGTCCTTAGGTATAATGGCAGTAAGGATTCCGGGACTCTAGGACTCCGGGATTAAAAACAATAAGTTTAAAGTCATTAAATATCATAACTTTTTTTATAATAACAGATAATTAATCAACTAACATGTTTAGAACTTCTGGACGCCAGAGACCATAAAAAAAAAAATTATAAAGCCGGAGTCCTTTTGGGACTTCGCTCCTGCTATGTATACTTGTATATTGTACATACAATGCAGCGTATATATATATATATATATATATATCTTTGCGTACTAAGATAAATAAACTGTTTGATGTCATACTGAAATAGCCAGCTGCTGGGGGCTTTAGTACTTATATATATATATATATATATATATATATATATATATAATATATATATATATATATATATATATATATATATATATATATATATATATATATATATATATATATATATATATATATATAAACACACACACACACACAGACACATACACAAATGAAAAAATATTTAAGACTTACGTTTGGATTTTCCTGTTCTTACAACTCTAAAGACTTCATCTTCTCCTATGGCTTTCACTTTTGGTAATGGAACATCCCATTTACCCTAAATTTATTAAATAATAATATATTAAGTACTTAGATAAGGCTGATAGATCTACTCAAATCTGTCCCTTCAGATATATGTATTTAAATCAAATTAAAAATAAAGCCTCACCGCTTTCTCTTTCCGTTTCTGTTTAATCATGTTACTTAAAACCTTTGCTCGAGTTTGTCCCTCACGGTCAAGTAAATATGCAGGAACCGCACCTTCAGGAGTTTTGCTTGTATCTTTTGTCTTTGTTTTTTTCTCTTCGTGCATTTTTAATGTTTTTTTGAGCTGCACTTTCTCTGCATGTCTTTTTTTATTGTAAATTTTTGCTCTTTTTTTAAGAAAATAAAATATAATATTATTATATTAATATATTTAGAAACTTATAAATAATACAATAACATCAACAACAAATAAACATCTAAAATAAAAGTCAGCTGCAAAAACTGTATTTATGTTAAATTAAAAACAAATAAAAGAAAAAAATAGTTTTCAAAAAATTTTTTTAGACTATTTACTTTTTAAAATTTAGTACTCAATAAATGTACAATACTTACTTTAGACCAATTAACTTTTTTGCTTTTAAAGCTAACTTGTGGGGTTCTCTTCCTTCTTTCTTCCGGCTTATAAATAATATAAAAATTTTACAAATGAAAACATTAATAAAAATTCAAAATAAATTAACTAACATTCAATAACAAACTTATAATTAACATTCAATAACAACTTTAAAATAAAAACAATAACTTTAAAATTTCATAACCTCTTACTAATTAATTGAAATTGTTATTGTAAAATCTGTTGTTTATAATACTATTTTTATTTATCCTGACATTATAATACAATATTTACTAATTTTTCTGTAATGAAACGGTTGTAATTTGAATATTTTAATAATATTTGTAATTTATATTATAGTTTTGTAAATTGAAGTTTGTTTTTTGTTTTTTAATAATAAACTAACTAAAAAATAAAAATCAGAAGATTTAATAAGCTAACGTTAAACAGGGCTTGAATTAAATGATCACAAATTGCGATCTCTGGAAATGCTTATAAACTTTAAAGTTTTAGCTTTTAAAAAAAAGTTAACTCTGTTTTGATCACTAAATTGTTATTTTTGATCACTCAATAGCTAATATTCTATAAAAAAATGTTTATATTGATCCTGAATTATGATATAAAACCTTATAAAACCATTTTATTTACTATTATCTTTTATAAAACCATAATAATACTATTATTTTTTTTACTATTAAAGTTATGATTTAAAATTTAATATTTTAATTCATTTTATAAATCATTAGATAAAACTGGAGAAATAAAGCATGATAAAGTACAATATAATTATTAAAAAACAACCACTAATCACAAAAGTCTAAAGGAATTTAGTGGTGATCAAATATTTTAATTGAAAAAATTCGTGAAATGAGGAATAAAATACTTTTATATCTTATTTAAATCTTATTCAGTATTTTCTTATAAATTAAATGTTCATAACTCTTTAGCAGATATGTATACAAAATTAAATATGAAAGTAACTAAAGCAAACATATAACTTAAAACCTTCAGATAATCATGCTCAGACAATCTTCTTGGTTTAAAATTTAATGCTAGTGCACTAAAAAGTGTTTAACGGATTGTCTTTTTTAGGTTAATGTGGAATTTTAAAAAGTCAAAAGTAATACAACAAAAAGAATGCTTTGAATAAATACTACAAAAAATCATTTAAAAAAAACCCTGGCAAAACAAACATTTTAAGTTCTAAATAAAAAAATTAAAATTGAAATAGCAAGAAAATAAAAAATGTTTTATATAAATATTAAACAAAATAATAAAAATAAAAACAAACATTTTATGGGCATGTGGGCAAGCATGAAAAGGGTGCAAAAGCACTGATCTAACAGAGAAGGCTGCTGAGACATATTAAATAAATAAAAAAAAACTAGATCAACAGTTGCTAAATGATTTGATGCTGAATGGTAAATAAAAACATACTGCAGCACAACTATCACATTTCAAAGAGGATCAATCACCTTCCCAGTTTACAACCATAACAAGTCAGATTCTGCTGAAACCTTAAACACATGCTAACTAAACCTGGCATTACCCAGAAAAAGTTAACTATGGGCCATTTTTTAGGCAAGACATCACTATGACTGCCGTGTACAGAGTGTAAAACACTGCAAACTGTTTTTAAATGATTAAAAAAATAAAATTCCTTTTTAATTATAGCAATTTTTATATAATTTATTTTAACCATGTTTTAAAATTGATTATATCTTTGCAATAGTTTTACTTTTTTTTTGTTGTTAAATAATGTTAGTTCCAAGGATATCCTCATCCTTAGATAAATCTTTTATTTTTACTTGATGGTTTTGTAAACTAAAATATTCATAACAAGCATTGTAAAAAATGTACATTATATTATATAATGTATACAAAGTATATATAAAATTCCCAGAAATTCTAATATTATAAAATTAGTAAAAATTACCGCTTTTCATGGTAATCCAATTGTCTTCCATGCCTCTTGATAGATAATTCAATATGTTCATTTTGAGGCTGAATAAAATTAATATTTGTAAAAAAAAAAGTTCTACTTATCAGATAAAAACAATCTTATAACAAATACTTTAACTAATTACCATTTTTTATATTATAATGTATATAATATTTATAGATATGTTATATAAAAATTACATAAAAACTATAAACATATTATATAATAATATATTTATAATTTATAGTGCATATTAACAGATGCTATTTCTGTTAATATACATCATAAATTATAAATATATTATATAATAATATATTTATAATTTATGATGTATATTAACAGATGCTATTTTAGGAAATAAATTTGGGCGACAGAAACCCCTTTCTGGAGAAATTTAATGGAAATATTGGCAAAAACAGGGGTGAAACATTAAAACTGAATTATTGGATTGAAAAATATCTAAAGCTAACAGACAAAATACTTAAAAGATAATATGCATCTTGTGAAAAATCTGAACAAATGGCAAATAAAAATCAAGCTATCATTAAGAGATATTAAAAAGATATGTTCTTCCTGCTTTTCTTCAATATTAAAGTTATTCTTAAACAAATTTAAAATATTTTTTGTTTTAAAATTTTTAAATATAAGTATAACATACAATTAGAATTTTAAATAATAAATTGTTACCTACTTTTAACTTTTATTCAGGAAAAGGAATTTTTAACTTTTGCTAGAAGAGTGAAGCTGTGAAAAACCAATTTATTTTCGCATGAGGTCTAGGAAATGTAACCAATGAAGCGAGTTGCTTCTGGGATTCAAAAAAATAAATGAAAAGGAACAATATTAAATCTGAAGACAAGTTTCCTTTAAAGACTTTTAGAAACAACTTTTTTGTTGTTGTTAGCACATCTGATAATAAATATAGCAGAGCATATCTTAAAAAATTGTCTTTCAAAGCTATAATGAAAATCTCAAATACTCTAAACCTTAGTTAAAGAAAAACAAAACTACTTGCAAAAATATGCGACAAAACTTTGGGAAGATAATGTTAAAACCTAATATATCAATTCAGATGTAGGTGATGTAACACTTTGTCAGATTTTTATAATGTAAAACTGAATCACTCATTTTAGGGAATGAAATATCACAGTTTGGTATTTGTAAAAGATACTTTTGGTTTTATTCTTCACACGATTAAAAAAAAAAGTTTGAATCCTTATTGCATTGTTGCTTGGATTTCAATTGATGCTGGACAGGGTTTTTTTTAATGTATTGTAAACGTTTTTTATTGATAATGCAAAAATACAACTACAGAAAGTCTAGATGATTCCAGAGTAAAAAGATCATTGGTTTTAGCTTTAGTTGAAAATGTTTCAGAACATAATGTAAATCTTAGCAAACTATTGATACCAGTAGTGCTAAATGATGTAAAATATTCAATAGCATTTGATCTACAATGTGGTAACTCTTTATTTGGTTTAAACAGCCACAGTGGTAAGTATGCTTGTCTCTAATGTGTGAAGTTAAAAGTACTCTTGAGAGTGGAAAAAAAAGAACTTTAGGTTCAATTGATATCAATTACAATAAGTTTGTTGCAGATAGATAAAAGAATAACAGCATAAAGGAATTAAAAATTGTATTTCTCCTCAAATTGCATATCTCCATGAACCTTTAGAAACTTTAGTGGAACATCTTATCCCTCCTACTGAGTTACACATCTTCATTGGTATTTATTACTTTGTGACAATATTTTGTTACATGCTTTAAATTAAACTATATTATGTTCAGAGGTTACCATGGAACAGTTTTGGACAGAAACAATTCACAGAGGCTTTTAGATAAAATAGACGATCTAGAAGCTAATCTTCTAAGTGCATCTTCAATGCAGCTAAATATAATATTTCTACAACCTGTAGCTAATTGTCTTATGAACATTTTAATTATAAAACAAAAAAGTTGTCAGCTCAATGATCGAAGAATCTATTGCTGAATCAGTTATAGATTTTAAAAACGTTTTTGAAAAACTGCAGCTTCATCTTCTAGAAAAGTTTAACTATGAATTAAATATTAGCTGGAATGTTTACATTTTAGTGTGTCATCTTGTTTCTTTCTTTATCATAGTCAGTTTAGGCTTAGTATATAGACCAAGCAGGCCAGAGAAAGTGCTCATCACTACCACTATCACGTATAGAAGCACCATTTAGAACACAATGATTATGCAAAACAGCTTAAGATAAGTGTAATTGGAATTATGTAGATAAGTGTAATTTGGAATTATGTAGATAAGTGTAATTTGGAATTATGTAGCTATTGTTATTATTTTTAAATTTTCAATAAGAACAAAATAATTGCTATGATTTTAAAAATATTATTATTAGAAATTACAATTTGCATTTCAGTTGTTAATCTTTTTGTTACATTTATTACATTAATGTTGTATTGTAAACTTTGTCAATATTAATTTATAATATCCAGAGCTTTTTTTTCACGCAGAAACTTGTAGATTTAAAAAATAACTGTTTTTAAACAGCAATTTATTATAATAACCTTTTTTATAACATAAATTATCAAACTTTGGAACTTATTATTTTTTAAAAAAAGTTATTTTAACAGAGAAACTTTGGGCTGGAGGAAATATTTTAATATCTTTTAATAAGTTCTTTATGAGCATCATCATCAGCATATTGATCATCCTTTAGTACTCTTATTTCACTACTTGCACATGTTGGTTTTCAATTTTCATAATGCCATTTTTCCAATATACACAATCTTGATCATTTTTCCAAAATCAGAGCTCCAATGGAGCTCTGATTACTGATGACATGGAGCCTCCATGTCATCAGTAACATTTATTTGTTTCTTCTAAAACTGACAACTTTTTAAATACTTTTTAAATGCATGTGGTATTCAATCTGCAATGATTTAAAACAAATTTTTTTCTGAACTAGATTTTAGCAACTATGTATTCTGACGTTATTATTTCCTGCATAGGTTTACATTCTGTACGAGTAAAGTTTTTTGTTTAAAATTGGTTAAAAAATGTTCAAATTAGATATATGAGAATAAATATTAAAAATACTGTTTTGGCTATTTTTGCTAAAAAGTAACGATAAACTATTGAAACTTAGCTATTGTTTTGTTTTAAAATTAAATACCAGTAATAATTAACAGAGTTATAACCATTATTAATTAATCTATTTTACAAGGTTCCCACTATTAAAACTAAGGCTAAAATTAAGGTTTTTTAGGAGATTTAAGGAGATATTTTCCTAATATTTAAGGAGATTTGGTCGCGAACGACATTTTTTCAAAAGAAAAGTAAGGATAATTAAGGAGAAAACGATTACATTAAAAACATAATCTTATTTTAATAAATTTTAAATATAAACAGAGAAATTATTATTTCTTTATATACATATATATATATATATATATATATATATATATATATATATATATATATATATATATATATATATATATATATATATATATATATATATATAATAACAAAAATAGGTTTGAAAACTATCAAAAATCTATATATTATCTTCTTTATTAACAAGTATAATCCATTCACTTTAAAAAGTGAATGGATTATACTTGTTTTTAAAATTTTCTAGATAAATAAAAAAAAAATAAGGAGAAATTAAGGAGAGCAGACAAATTTTAACTTTTTTTAAGGTTATTTAAGGACATTTAAGGTGGTTTTTATTTTTTAAGGATGTTTAAGGTTTTTAATGAGATGTGGGAACCCTGTTTTAATACTATTTTTGACTTTTCTGCTGATAAAAACAATAAAACATACCATTTTCTATTTTTGTATTAGTACTTATGCTGTTTGTTAAGTACCCCTCATTTACAAGATTTTATAGCTGAACAATCGAGATTATGTGGATTGTTAAATAACTGATAAACAATACCGAGTAACTTTAAAAATTATTATTAATTTTTTTTAGAATTTGCTATATTAAATTTTATTAAACTTTAAATTTAATTTAAAAAATTAATTTGACATGAATAAATAATTTAGAGTATAAGTAATTCAAAAATATAAATGACGAATAAGTAAAAGTCTTCTTTGCTTTTAAAAGAGCAATCGTGGCTTTATTATTCTCCGTAATTTATAAAAATGGCTATTTAAACATTATAGTAGTTAAGAATATTAAACACTCTTGATATCCGTAGATCGAAATCGAGTTGTATGATTATGAAAATGGGTACGCTTTTTTTTACTTTCTCGACTTTTTATTTATTATAAATGATGCTATATTGCTCAGTTTTTTTCCTAAAAATTTAAAATCCTAAAAATTTGTCACACACTGGTTTTAAAAACAGCTATTTGTAACATTGCTTAAACTTCTAAAACGTAATTTTAAAATACGTTATTTGAAAGATTCAAAGTTATCGGGAGGAAGGGGGTTATTTTGGTGCTCATACGTTTTTTCTCTGTCGCTTTTTTAAGACAGTGTTTTTTGTTGTTGTACAATCAGAATAAGAACTTACAATCAGTAAAAAGTTAAGTTACAAAACTGAAACAGTTGAATAATTTTGTTCTATTTTAAAAAGGAAGCTGAAGGTTTTAGGAATTTATTACAACTTTTCATTAAATTCCATAGTGCTTTGGTAGTGAAAAAATATTTAAAGTTTGTTAGGTTCAAATTATAAATTAAGAAATCCATTATCAAATTGATGCTCTTTTTTTGCAGATAAAAAAATGTTGTTTTTAATTTTTTGGAATTGCATGCTGCCTTTTAAATGCTGAAATTACTTTTTACTATAATTGCATTGCTCTGCTGATGTCTAAATAAATATTAGGTAAAAAAACTGGTATGACCATCTTTAACTTGTTTCTCAGCTTAAAAAAAAATTAAAACTTAAAAATCTTTTAGTTTTCTTATTTTACTTTTTAACTATTTTTATAGAAACTTAATTCATTACTGCTATTTTTATTATTACTATTATTATTATAATTGTAATAAATACTATTATTTTTGCAATAACTTTTGCTCTATTAATGAATAAAGTTATTATTATAATTATTATTTTTTAAATTAATATTATTTAATATAATTACTTGGTGTCACTCCTTCAATCAGGTTTCTGCCTAATTGCCTAAATCAGGTAAATGACTCATTCCTTGTCAATCATTTATTTATATTATTCTTAATAATGATATTTTGGTTTTTATATTTATAATATCATAGATGTTCTTATTATTATTGTTATTATTATTATTATTATTATTATTATTATTATTATTATTATTATTATTAATATATATTATTGTAGTTAGGTGATTGTAAATTTTGACCTGCAGGATTACAAACGACCTCGATAGAGTAGTTGACTGGGCTGATACTTGTTCAATGAGCTTTAATCTAGAAAAATGCAATTATTTGATTTTCAACAAGCATCGTTGTACACAACAATTAAACTACAAAACTTTTGTTGATGATAAATTAATAATTGATGATAAATAAAACTTTTGTTGATAATAATGATCCCTGCTTCCAACTAACAATGACTGACAAAAAGACCAACTCTGAACGTGATCTTGGTGTTGTTGTCCACAACCGGTTTTTGTGGAATGATCAAATAGCAAAAGTCATTTCAAATTCATATAGTGTTCTTGGAATTCGTTGACACACTTTCAAAAATTGGAATCTTGAAATGTTCCACATACTTTACTGCTCTTAAGGCCTCATTTGGAGTATTTCTCAGCAGTATGGGGACCTTTTTCAATTGAAAATATAAAATCTCTTGAAGCTGTTCAAAATTAAGCCACAAAACTTGTCCATATCTGTGAAAAGAAAGCAAAGGAATGCTGCTCAGCTATTGGTATCTAATAACTTGAAAATCAAAGGTGCCGAAGTGATCTTTTACAATATTTTTAGATTTACCATGGCATAATCAAAGTTAAATGGATTGAATCACCATCTCCTGCACTTGCGCAACCTGGACCAGCCGGTGATCTTCGGTGTCTAAACCCATTGCATTTGGGTACCAAGAATTATTAAATGTGTAGCTTGCAAAACTTTTTTATGTAACGCTACCACCAGATATCATCACCTTCGATAGAAATGTACCAGATATTGTCAACATTAACACTTTCAAAAAAAGTTTGACATAATTTTTGGTTCACTTCCATAAAAACTGTATGATTGGTAATTCTCGGTTTCTCGCTGGGGATGTTATTAACTCTATGTGCTGACTATTTTATTTCTTTTTTTGTTTGTTTGTTTGGTAGTCCTCTATACTGGATCTACCATAGCAGAGATTGGTTGCTTTCCCAGCTTCACTGATTTTTTTATTGTAGATTAGATTTAAATAAAAAATAAATAAAAAAGAGTAATCTGGTCTTCCTAAGTATTCTAATTATTTTACATCCTTAGGAAATGCTAAACCCTTTAACATTTAGAAATTAAACACAATTAAATTCTAAATAGAATTTTTAAACTGAATTGGGTTCATATTTATAGATGTAGAAATCTTCTTATTAAATTTTCAATATATTTTTATTACATTTGTACTAAACAACAGTGAAGTCACCAAAATTAAATCAAATTTTTTCAATTATCATTATCAATATATATATATATATATTTATATATATATATATATATATATATATATATATATATATATATATATACGAAGTGTGTTCAAAAATTAAGGTGACTTTTCAAATTTTGCTGGCAACGTACTTTCGATTATCGATTTTCTTTTGTTTTATCATGTTGGTACACTCTTCTCGAAGATCTGTACCAAGTTTCAGGTGTATAGCATTTTTTGTTTAGTTGTGAGAGGTGTAAAGGTTATAAGTGTTTTGCGTGCTCAACGATTTTTTATATTCGAAAAATATGGATCAAAGGATTTGCATCAAATTTTGTGTAATAAAATAAAGTGCTCCAAAACACTTGAAATGTTGATAATGGCATACAGTGAAACTGTTCTGAGTAAAAAAGATGTTTACAAGTGGTACAAACTTTTTCAAGATGGCCGGGAAGATGCCAATGATAAGCCTCGCTCTGGACACTCAACCACGTCAACAACTGATAAAAATATTCAAGCAGTGAAGAAAATCGTTTTGGAAAATCGCCAAATCCCTATCAGAGGAGTTGCTAATGATTTTGGTATATCGCTTGGCCTGTGCCATGAAAGTTTTTCCGAAATTGCTCAATTTTGACCAAATGAACCATCGCATGAGCATTGCTCAAGAACTGTTGAATGACATCAACGACGACCCAGATTTACTCAAAAGGGTCCTAACTGGTGACGAAACATGGTTATATGGTTATGATATCGAAACCAAAGCCCAATCGTCCCAATGGAAGAGCCCAGGTGAGCCAAGACCGAAAAAAGCACGCCAAGTTCAATTAAATGTCAAAGTTTTGCTCACTGTTTTTTCGATTACCATGGCCTGGTGCATCAGGAGTTCTTACCATATGGTTATACAGTCAATAAACAGTATTATCTTGAAGTTATGCGTCATTTGCAAGAAGCAATACAAAAAAAACGTCCAGAACTGTGGAAAAACAATTAATGGCTTTTGCATCACAATAATGCCCCTGCTCACTGATCTTTGCTTGTGAGAGATTTTTTGGCCAAAAACAACACCACAATCATGTCTCAGCTACCATATTCACCGGGTTTGGCCCCATGTGACTTTTTCTTGTTCTCAAAACTAAAGAGACCTATGAAAGGACGGAGATTAGCAACGATTGAAGAGATAAAGACTGCATTGCTGGAAGAGCTCAAGGCTATACCAAAAAGTGCTTTGAGGATTGGAAAAACCGTTGGCATAAGTGTATTGTATCTGAGGGGGATTACTTTGAAGGGGACAAAATAAATATTGATATATAAATAAATTTTTTTTCTTAAAAATACAAATTCACCTTAATTTTTGAACACACCTCATGTATGTATATATATATATATATATATATATATATATATATATATATATATATATATATATATATATATATATATATATTGATAATTTTTCAATTGTTTGACTAGATTATTAATACTTATTAATTACTAGTCAAGAAGGAAATATCGTAATAGCAGAGCTAATCTAGATGAGTTCCCTTTGTACCAAAGTACTACTTGTTTTGATTATGTGATAATAATTAACTCTTTTGATTTGAGAGTGATCATTATAAAGTGAAGCAATCACAAAATAGATCAATAAATAAATTAAAGGTTTGATGAAAAAAAAAAAATTTTTTTGATGGTACTTAAAGTTTTTTCTTGATTTAAATATGTGTGTGTGTGTGTGTGTGTGTGTGTGTGTGTGTGTGTGTGTGTGTGTGTGTGTGTGTGTAAATATATATATATACATATATGTATATATCTGTGTGAGTGTGTGTGTATATAACAAACAAAAGTTTCTACTCTCGGTTTCAAATGCACAAAAAATTACTATTGAAAACGTTTTTGTATCTTCTTAGTTTTATTCAAAAAAAGATCTTTTAAAAAGTAATACCCTTAACTTGTTATTCTAAATAGTGTTTCATGAGTGTTATCTATGTTTTTATCTAAGCAAATTAAACATTTTTATTTATAAACACTAATATACAGAATAAACTGAAATGTTATTTCTTTCAACATAGTCGGAATATTAGAAACTAAAATTTTGTGCACTCTGCACTATTTTAAACTGTCAATAACAACTGCAGTGGTACTTTAGCTTATACTATATATATATATATATGTATATATATATATATATATATATATATATATATATATATATATATATATATATATATATATATATATATATATATATCAGGCTTGGTCGGGAAGCGGGAGCGATCGCTCTCGATTGCTGACCACGTAAATAATATTTAGTTGCGAAAAGCTGGCCAGATTTTTTAGTCGTTTTGAGAACATTTTAAAAAGCAAAAAAAAAAAAAGCGACGAAGATTAATTGGACCGACGAGAGACAATTACAAAAAAAAAAAAGTAGGCAAATAAAATATCTTTAAACGCGAAAAAATTTAAAGCTAAATAAATTACATTTAAAACAAATATTTTCGAAACATCGCTCTTTTATAATTTTTTTTATAAAATTAAGCAATGTTTTTTATAGAAACATACAACCGTCAACTGAAAAGATTGTTTAAAAGGAAAACAAATATTCTTTATTTAACTAAGTTTGCAAGTTTTAGTTTTACTTAAGCTTAATTTATTTTATAAATAAAAAAGTTAATTTTTTCAATACCTATTTTATGTTTCGCGTAGTTTGAAAAGTTTAACATATTTAAAGCGATTCTTCTTAGTAAGATAAACAAATGAAATAATTAAATCATTGAATTACTATAAGAATTAAATTATCAAGATAGAAATCAACTAAAAAGGTTTAAAATACTTAATGACCAGGAAGCGAAACTGCTTCACAATATTGCTGATGATGTTTAGTGAGTGGGCTTTTAAATTTTAATTAGTGTTTAAAGCAGAAAAAAGTATAACGAGTTTTAAGAATGGCAACTTAAGCAAAAATAATTAGAGTTAGTAAATCAATATCTAGAAATTTTTCTTTATATCTAATTATTTGCTATATATATTTGTGTTCTGTCGTGACCTCAGGCGCGATGCTTGTTCATCCGCGAGTTACTTTGTATGCGTTGTTTGTGTTTAGTAACCAGAAACTTCTTATATGTTTGTTACATAATTAGTTTTATTAACTTTAACGATTAAAACTTCATTAAAAACACAATTATTTTTGTAAGTCTTTGTTTAAATCATAAAAATTGCTTTAAAAGATACATTACGATAAAAAATAAATACACAAAATTACATTTACTTAAAGAATACAATCTCTTTTAAAATAAAAAATAAGAATATACTAATAAAATCTATGATTTATAATAAACTTTAAAAATTTTAACAATTTAACTAATATATATTTAAAACATTTATTTTCGTAAACAAATAATATAAATTCTTAAAACAATGCTAAAAATCTCAAAACGTAACAAATCGTGAATAATACAATTTCTAAAACATTTTAACAGAATACTCTCGAACTTTATTTCACTTAATCAGCGTATTTTTTGAACCAATAGAATTAGTTTGTTCGTTAATTTGGCGGGTTTTTAGTGTTCGCAAACATTCTTTTTATTCTTTCGCACAAAGATGTTTTGAGAACATTCAAGTTTTTTATGTTTCCATGTATGTCCGTAAAACAAAATTTTTTGTTTTGAACGTAAACTTAAATATTCTCTAAACGACTAAAAAACCTGGCCAGTTTTACGCAACTAAATATAATTTCCGTGGTCAGTATTCGAGAGCGATCGCTCCCGCTTCCCGACCAAGCCTGATATATATATATATATATATATATACATATACATATACATATACATATCAAAAATCCTATATTTAAAATGATATAAATTTGCTTTATATCATTTTATATCATAATTTTAAATTGGAGCTAATTATTGTAAATATATGTTTTGTTTTCAGTTTTACCAACAACTACTTCATGTGGAGTGGCTTCAATTTTATGCCTAATAACATTTGCATTGATGCAGTTGTTCAAGACACAACTTGGGTCATCAAAAGGCATGACATTGTTGGGCGGGTTTCTTGGATCTCAAGTTTTTGTTTTTGGGTTGACTGTATCCTTTTATAAGTTATTTTGTTTTGGGTAAAATATAAATTTATGATAATAGTAACCAGATATAATTGATGTTTATAATATGTTATAATAGATAATCAAATCATGATATAATCAAAACACTAATAAAAATGACAAAATTCCATATTAACACATTGGTAAATATATCTTAATTTAATGAATTGAAATTTGATTTTTTTTTTTAATTTGTTCAAAAAGGAATTGCAAATTATTCTGTAAAAAAAAACTTGAAATAATTGCAATTTGAAGATTACATGCAGGTTTTAATAATTGATTATAATAATAGTTATTATATTGAGACTAAACTTTCTTTTGTTTGTTAAAAGCCAAAATAATGAAGCATATTAAAGGAATAATATGTTTTCAAAAAATCTTAATCATTTAGAGTTATTGAACATTACAAATAGTTTTACCTGAGTCCACAGAATTATTTAGAGATATGCACATGTATGTGTATATATATATATATATATATATATATATATATATATATATATATATATATATATATATATATATAAATCACTAATATCCAAATATTTTTATATTTAGTATTGTAAACACTATATATGTAAAACTTCGTATTGTACAATTAAGTAACATAATATGTTCCTTAAGCTTTATTGAAAGGCAATGAATAATTTTGAAAATGTGATCTTAGGAAGAAATTTTCAATCAAAATTATTTCCAGAAGGTATTCATTTCAAAATTTTTTTTTTTTTTTTTTTTTTTTTTTTTTTTTTTTTTTTTTTTACACTTCATTACATGAAAAGTTCTTATATAATATTATTTATTATTATTATTATTATTATTATTACATTTTTATGCAAGTTTTATTTAATTTGTATAAATGAGTAAACTTAGAACCCTTATTATGGTAGTAACTTTTTTTTTTATTACAATTAGAGTTCTAATTTATTTTATTATTAATTAGTTTATTTATATTCATGTCTTTATAGTAATAATATGTCTACTTGTTTCTATGGTTGCCTCTGGCATGGTTCATAGAGTTTGTGTGACAACTTGGTGAGTTTTAGAATTGAGAATTAATTTTTAAATAATTTTATACTGAAATACAATTTTGTTTTTTAAAGCAATGACATATGTGGCAAATGCACTAGCAGTAATTTTTTTGTAAAATTTTAAAACATTGACAAATCGCAAATAGGGGAAAACCTTTGAATTAAATATTTTCTGAACATTTTGCATTCCAGTTGATTTTTTAAACTATATATATATATATATATATATATATATATATATATATATATATATATATATATATATATATATATATATATATATTATACTTTATACTTAAGCAAATCTGAAACAACTTAATAATTAGATCAAAGCCAAGGTTTGAACTAAATTTCTTTTCAACAAATAATTGTTTTTTATGTAAGTTAGATCAAATATGATAAAAATTGCTCAATAACTACTTTTTTAGTTAGATCGCATAAATTTATTTTTTAGTTTCTTGTTTTCAATCGTGGCATTATACTATATTAACAAAATCTCAACTTCTCGACAATCTGCAATATCTCAAGCTGCTGTTAAATCAAAAGGGAAGAAAACAAATTAGACTAATAAGATTAATAGAAATCTTTTTAATTACCTTTATAATTACCTTGATAATAAGGGTTTAAGATAATAATTTCCATAACAAACTATTTTTGTAGACGAGGTATTACTGTGTATAAATATACATAATTTACATATATGTAGTGGTTTATTATTAGCTTATCGTTTATTTATGTATTTTATGTTTGTTTGTTTTTTAATGTTCCTAAAAAACACCTTTTAACGTATGTTTGTATGTGTATTACATATGCGGATTTGCCTTAGGAGGGGTATGCTGTGATTATACCCGAACGTGTAGAGGTTAAATGGATTTATTCAATTTTATCATTAATATATGTCAGTGTTACTGACGTTATTATTTTTGGATTGAAACTAAATAAATATTAATGACAATCGTTTTTTCTCCCTCATCTGTTTTTTTTTTTATCAGTATGTACTAAAATAATAGGCCTTCTACCGCGCAACGGCTTGAAAAATGCGGAAAACCTGAAGAGCGCCCTAAGAGGATTGAAGCAATATCAAGAGACATTATACCTAACAAACAAAATAATGAAGCTTATCCAAAACATTTTTCATAAAATTTTCAAGTTATTAAAAGGGATAGAAACACCTCGAGATCTATCTAATATATTTAAATTACTACCAAAAAGTTCAGAGCCACCTCCTCCACCACCATCAAAAAAGACTTAGTATACTTTGTAACAGTTGTTGTATTAAATCAAAACAAATGAAAAATAATACTGGTATTAATCATTTTGTCTTCGAGTATTTATTGACCTATTATTAATGGGGAAGCCCCCCCTAAACAGAAGTATTAAACATTTTAAACAAAATCAAGAATATAAAACATCAATATAATATGAATAAACAAAATCCTTGAGAAAAAATACAAAATGGTTTTTGGTTGCCATAGTAACCACAAAAAACACATAAAAATGGGCAAAAAATGCATTCACACCGGCCGTAAAAACTAAATAACCGTGCAAGATCTCTTAAAAAGCTTTCACCAAATGCTTCACAAAAGGTCAAAGGGTGTTTTAATAGCGGCATTTTTCTGTAACTAAAAATCTGAGCGATGGGTGCACATTTCAAGGTGGCGAAAATATTTTTTATTCAAAATATTAAAAATAAAAAAATTTAAACCTCAATTTAAAAAACTGTTTCTATTAAACCACAGTTTATAATCATAGAAACAACTCCAGAAAATTTCATCAAAATTGGTAAAACGGTTCTTGAGATAAAACGGCCGGCGCACAGTGCCTCACAGATACGAAAAAACGGCAAAAACCCTATTAATTTTTTAAATTTATTTTGATGTTTTTTAACTTTATCTTGATTGTTATAAGCATACTGAACAAGGTAAACCCATTTTTTATGATTTTGTAAATTTTTACTCTTTTTGCGAGCTTGTTATATGCAGGTTGTTTGTGGGCAAAAATTCACTAGAAATTTTAGAGTTTTCAAGTAGATCTTAAAATTGTCACAAAATGGTCATTTTTAAAAATTTTTCTTTCATTTTTTCGGTGAACATCGTATATATATTATATCATCCGGTAAGTAACTGACATTGGACTTTTATCAACACCAAAAATTAATGTTCGAATTTCACAATTTGTGAAAAAATTAAAAATTTTCAGAAAATAATATTCACAATATTTACTTTTTCTAAAAATGTCCACACTTGTCCACCCTGAATTTTGATGGGGAAGTATCTTGAATATATACAGGAATGCCCGGAAAAAAAAAACCCGCCCCAAAGTAGCACGTTTTTGAGAAATTGAATTTTAAAGTTTTTTGCAATTAATAAGAAATCCGCAAAAAGTTGTTTACAAATCCAAAAAATTAGTTAGTAATATGTGCCTTTGTGATTACATCTCAAAATGAAAATAATAGACTTGATTCCCAAAGTAAGAGAAATTTGTATAACTAACAAGGATATTTTGAGCCTCCTTTATGAGGAAATTTTGATATCAGAAGGTTTGGATGGTGAAAAAGTGCATAGTGAAAAATTAACAGAAAAAATCCGAATTTTGGTGATAAAATTGAAAGCTAAGTGGATTGCAGTAAACAAAACATATGACAGGCTGTTAATGAAAGAAAAAAAATGGTTGCAAACCGAAATTCAAATTGTTATGAAAGCTGACAATGTAAGCAGAAAAGAGTTCAGTGGAGGGCGACCAAAGAAAGATTGGAAAGATCTAAGAGAGAGAAGTAAGCAAACAAGAGTTGTTGGATTATCTGCGCATGATCCAGAGGTTTTAGCTCTGGCTGCTGTTAAAAGTGCAAAATCATCAGGTGACTTACAAGACTTTGCTTATGTGGTTAAAGAGTCTATTCAGAAAGCATCTGAAATCAGAAAAAGTATGGACAGCAAGGAACCAATAATGATGAGTGAGAAACAAGCACTTTCATTAAAAGTTAATTGTGATCTCAGTGATGATCAGTATCAAATGATAAGTAACTCCTCAATCAAACACAATGCCAATATTTATCCAACATTACATTCTCTATTCAAGGAAAAAAGTAATTGTTATCCAGAGTACCTTGTTGTAACTGAAACTTCTGCTGAAAGTAAATTACAGTCCATGGTGAATCATACTCTTAAAAAAGTTATTGTATTAAGTGAAGACAATTTAAAAACTCTGGATCCAGATCAAAATGTGCTCAATGGTCGTTTTATTCTAAAAGCAGGGTTTGATTGTGCATCAAGCCAAAGTTTGTATAAACAAAGGTATGATAACACAGACATTGAGGAGGCTAAAAAAAATGAAGAATCCCTTTTCCAAACTGCAATTGTACCTCTTAAGTTAAGTGTAGAAAGTAAAACAATTTGGGAGAATAAGAAACCAAATAGTTCTCATTTTTGCAGACCTCTTTGTCTTCAATACAAAAAAGAAACCACAGAACTTAGCAAGTCAGAAGAAAAACACATTCGTGATCAGATGGCTGATTTAGAAGATTATGTTGAGATTATTACACTTGCGAATGGAAGAAAAGTCAGTATCAATATAAAATCTCATGTTGAACTAACCATGTTTGATGGCAAAGTGGTTAATGCCTTAACCAACACAAAATCATCTGCAAGCTGCAATATTTGTGGTGCGAAACCATCAGAAATGAACAAGCTAGATCTAGTTAAAATTAAACCTGTGAATAATGATGCTATGTCCCTTGGTTTATCATCATTGCATTGTTGGATTAAATGTTTTGAATACATACTTCATTTAGGCTACAGACTGGAGATGACTATTCCAAGGACAGATGTCAGGTTAGCCGAAAATAAGGTACTTGTTCAAGCTAGAAAAAAAACTATTCAAGATAGGTTTAGAGCAGAACTTAGTTTACTGGTAGATGTTCCAAAAACTGGATTTGGGAATACAAATGATGGTAATACTGCCCGAAGAGCATTCATGCATGGTGAGGCTTTTGCTGACATAACAGGAGTTCAGGTTGAGTTGATTCTCCAGGTGAGGACAGTTCTTCAAGCTGTTCTTCAAGCTTGTTCAGGGTATGACCTAGATATTGATAGATTTAGCCAATACTGCAATGAGACTCTAGCCTTTATAGTTAATAACTATGATTGGTACAGAATGCCTCCAACTCTTCACAAACTTCTAGTTCATGGACCTGCAATTGCTGAAAATCTAGAACTACCCATTGGTTATTATTCTGAGGAGGCTCAGGAGGTCCAAAATAAAGTGATAAGACATGCTAGGTTAAACCATTCATGCAAAATTTCCAGACTAAATGTAATGAAAAATCAATTTCAATATTTGCTGATCAGAACTGATCCAGAAATTTCGTCGATCAACTTCATAAAACACAAATCTTCCAATGGAAACCCCTTGTCTGAACAAGTTCTTAACTTGCTGAAACACTAAGTTTAGTTTTTTTGTTTAAATCTAAATTATATTGTTACATGTTATATATGTTATATGTTACAACATACAGAAATTGTAGATATTTGTTTCTGAATAATGTAATCTTTATTGTTTTCACTGTTTACTGACAAAATCGGCTGTTATTAAAGGATTATATGTAGAGTGTTTAAAAACATTGAAAATTTGTCACTTTTTATTTAAATAAACTATATATATATTTATGAATTTGTCTCTATAAGTACAATAAAAAACGACAGAAAAGCATGTTGAGAAAGTGGGAAAAAAGTTCAGAATTTGCAAATTCGCAAAAATATTTTGAAAAAAGTGTGTAAAATTATTTTCTGACTTTCGGGTTGGGTTACTGATTAAATTTTTATATATTCAGAGCCAAAAAAGGTTGAAATCCATTCAGAAACACTGATTTGAGGGTTTTTGCCGTTTTTCCGTAGCTGTGAGGCACTGTGCGGCGTATGAAAAAAGACTATTTTGAGAAAACGCGAAAAGAAAAAAAATTAGCATATAAAACTTTGAAACTTTAAGTAAAACACATATTATAGTTAAAATATCTAATAAAAAGTATTAGAAACCTCCTGCTTTATACAACTTCCCTTCTTTTTCTTTTTCATTATCATTTTTATTATGTTTTTTGCCAAAAATAATTTTTTGTCGCAACTTGTTTTTATCAATATTTATGTATTTGGAACGTGATAGTCGTTTTTAGTTTAAATTTTTACAAACTCTAAGAGTATATACTCCTGGAATTATTTCGAAAAATTCATAAACTAAAATCGAGGCTTTTCGACCAAAGTTAAAATTAGCCACTGCATCATAAACTCCAAATTCTAATTGACTGAATTATATAAATTTCATTTTAGGTAAACGTTCCCAGATAGTGCCATTAAAAATTTCATTAGTATTTTGTGTCTTACCATGTAAGCACTTTTATAAATGTTGGTCAGCACTGAGTTCTTCAAAGATTGGTTTGATTTTATAAACAATAGCTATTGGTAAACCTGATCCAGGTTTATAAGTTTTTTTTAAGTTGCACCATTGGCTTTACCTGAATTATATTTGCACCAATTATCAGCTCCTACTGGGCAATGTGGAAAATGTAGATTATTCTCCTTGTTGGAGGCAACATAATAAAGTGATGCCAGAGTACCAGGTTTCATAGATGCTAAATCTCATTACAATACATAAGCTCTAATTGAAATATCAAAATAACTTTGCAACCGATCAATTGTTGCATCTGTTAA